GGCAAGCTGTAATGCACCGTATCATGCCTAACCTTAGCAGTAGAATAAATTCCCCTCATTGTGTTTTGGTAACTGTATAGGGTTAATACTAGTATTTAGCATGCAAATTCTTTTTTTACTAAACATGCCTTTATTCATATCTTCTCCACATCTGCTTGCAGTCCAAACTGTCTAACAAAAGTGGGTTTGGGACAAACCATAGAGAGACTGCTAGGGGTGCTTACAATGGTCAGCTTTTATTCATAAGTTTGAACTTGTTTTTTTCCCCACAAAAAAAAACAAAACTTTTTTTGTGACTGCTTAGGTACTAGCTGCCCTTAAGCTTTAGTTTGTGTCTTACGGTACTTTATATCCATTTAAAACGACTTGCAGATCTAAGACTACCCTATTCACAGGGTGACAATGCACTGTGGAAAAAAAAAAACTAACAATAAAAAACAGTCGTTACCCTGTTAAAGTAAAAAAAAAAAGCTGATCTAATAAATACAACTATGTCACTTGGGGACTAGTGAAAAACTGTATCATATGTAATTTTGCATGTTACATAGCCGGCAACAAAGAAATTGCAAATGTGTTGTACAAACATGTTATAAGAACACACACAATATTAAACCACACGAAAGTTTCAGTTTTAGTATTTTACTCATGAAAAGTAACTTGCATCCTAGCCACATATTTTAAATGTAATATATAATTAACGAATGTCGCTTTGTAATGAATTCTGAGTGAATAATTCATGCAAGTTTTGTGTATTTCTTTATGGCTTTGATTGGTTTTCCAGTGAAGAAAAGAAACCAACTTAAATCTGAAAATGAAAATGCTTCCCAACAGGCATCAAGGAAGTGAAAAATTCATAATGCAAAGCATCAGAAGGGATGGGTTCCAATTTTCTCCTTTAATGGATTTCAATTACTATATTTTGGCATGGAAGTAAAAGCACCAGGAAAAGAAAATCTTTAATGGCAAATGAAAATGATTTGAACAAACACATGCTCCCATAGTTCCTCACTTAGTAATCTCAGTTTAAGAAACAAATCTCAGGGACAGTGCAAACAGATGCAATTTCACTTATATGTAGTCAAGGAAAATGTCTCTAAATGGTAGTTAGTGCTTTAGTAAATTAAAGTTGAACTCCAAGCAAACACTAAATACACAGAAGAAAAACAGGTCAGTGAACCGTCAAAAAGATTTGCTATTCTGTTCAGCCAACCCAACACCTTTTGACCCCAACACCTTTTGTCAGACAACGCTGTCAGGTTCTGAACATCCCAGCAGGCTGTAATATAGTTGAATCTGCTTATATTTTGCCTTCCCTGGTTCTCCTCATGAACAAGCTAATGATTTGTTTTAAATAAAACCTATTTTCATTACTTACTCATGCTTTTCTATGCAATGCAAGCAGATCATGGCGAGAGGGAGAGGCCAGCAAGGTGCTGTTGATAGTTTCCTAAAAAGAAATCACAGTACCGTGCCTCAGTACTGATCTCAAGAGCCCTTAGCCATGAGGCAAGCAGTAAGCTGTCACTTTGGAAGGATTTATGCAAATATCAAAATGCCTTGATAAGTAAATGTCTGTCTGGAGGTGTAGGCGTTCCTAGGCAGACTACATTTTCTTCCAAACTGCCTATAATAGCCACATATGATGCTGAGACCCTATGTTTGAAAGAACTTAAAGCCCATTTCCACCTTTGTAAGTGATAAGCATTTAGAGTGGTAATGTAGAGGTGCAGTGATGTTATATAGGTGTGCACAATTTTAATGACTCAACAACTAACATTGCAGGTTTTCCTTATTTTATTATGGACTTTTTAGTAGGCTTGAGCCCTAAAATTCCAAATGTTCTCCACAGGAAATTCCGTCTGACACCGGGGTCGGATTGTAAAGCAGACTGTAAACAGCTGCCCCCCTCCCTGTGATTCTGTGTAACATGATCACTAAACACCATCTCTGCCTTTCCAGGTTACAATAAACTCTCCAGGGGGAATTGCCACTATGAATTGTGGAAGAGAGCTCGGAGAGATCTCAGTTGTAATTTTAACTGCTTACAGAGCACAGAAGCAGCCATTTCCATGAGGAGATGAAAAGGACATAAAAAAAAAGTAAGTTTCTGTGTTCATATACAGCAACTGCATATGCCTGCTTCATGTACACTCAGTGTACATTCCTGGCATATGTTTGCTTTTTAAATACCTCTGCAAAGGAGGAAATGGGCTTTAAATTCAACAAATGATAGGCATCGGCCACAGACAGTAAGGCTGGGATGAAAGAGGTAGTTGATGCTGGATGTCCTCCAGATAAAGAATTGTGGTGGACTCTTTTCGAGTTGATACAGCTTCTAATACACACTGTGAAAAGCTTACAGTGTGCAGTGAACACAGAAGAAGCCATTTAAAGTACAGGAGAATAGCCTGTAAAACTGTGAAAGACTGAAGGTAAGACTGTAGCTCATCTTCAAAGGTAAGGTCACTTCCAAATTGATAAGGCCAGACTTTCTCCTTCGTAGGGTCTACCCAATTACCACTATGGCACTGCCCAGTCAGGGCATTGCCTTCTCCTTCCAGGATTTCCAATGATTTAACAGAGGCAGCCTGGTAAACAACTAGCCAAGGTGTCTCTGTCACAGGCACCTTACACTTGCTGGAAAAACAAGAGTTAGAGAAGGTGATGTACTGGCTGGCCACAGTGCTTTCCATGCATTTACACAAGCAAGTTCCCCCAAAAGTGGGCTTCTACCACAGCAGCATTATCCAGGACACACAATGATGAGATAATTTCCGTGCCCTCACCTCCTGTAAACATGTTCCCTGTGTTAGACTGACAGTACAGAGCAAACTAATAGAGTCCTGAATGGCTCAGAGTGCTTATTTTCTACATCCCCATAGGTCAATACGATTTATCTTTCAAAACAGGACCAAATCACATCTCGTCCTAGCTTATAAATCGAATTTCAGAATATGATGCCATCACCAATTTCTAGATAAAGCTTCAAAAATCAGAGGACTTAAATGTCGTAACATGGTCACATTGACAACCCTTACCCCCATCACCGCCCCCTCATCCTTACCTGAAATGTGGCATTTTTCTTCCTATAGGCCCCTGTCATTATTTGAATCTGGTTCATCCCTTACAGGCGCATCAACCATTCAGATCCTTTGACAGGATCTGTTAATGGAGAGACTTCAAGATCCATTTGACATTGCAATGGAGTAATGGAAGAAGACAGAGACTCCCCAAAGGCAAGATTGTCCAAAAAGGACTAGGGTGATTCAGAATCAGTGTCTCAGTAGCAGATAGCTCAAAGACCAGGGGCAAATCAGACACAGGATCTGTAGGGGAAGGCGTGGGAGCATGCTTGTAGACTCTGCAGTCAGAATCAGAAAATAACTGGGTGATCTGGGCCATAAGATCATTCACAACTGTAGTAAAAATATCAGGAAAAAGAATAGAGTGCATGTCACTCCACCCAATGGATGACATCAGCGGTAAGTCCCACGACGTTAACTTCTGCGGTGGAAGTTACCATTTAAAAAACAAAACAACCTAGTGGTCACCTAAGGTCTGTCACATAGGGGGTGGGGGAAAGTATTCAGCTTGCAGAATGCATGTTAAAATGGCTTTGATCTAAAGTTCTGTACGGAAAAGCATTAAAAGGGTGAACATTTGCTGACACTTGGCAAAAAAAACACGGGGGTGTATGTAAGGGCTCTATTAAGCTTATTGACTCAATACGGCTAGATATAGAAGAGTTTGCTGGCTGTCACAACTATAATGACACTGGACTGCCATGTCAATGGCCAACTCAATTATGCCTTTGCCCTGGAGAACATTGCCACTTGAGTCCAAAGATGGCCAAACAGCAACAATTTCCAAAGCAGGCCAGTTGTTGCCTCAGAACTAACAGGATAATCACAGACATAACTACAATCAGAAATGTCTACATCAGCGGTCTCAAAGTACCGGCATGCGAGCTGGTACTAAGTGGCCCGCAGCCAGCTGACAAGTCGAGCACACGGACACAGACCGAGTGCCCGACTTGCGGGAGCAGCTCCAATTGTGTATCCAGGGATAGTGACAGATTCCTAACTACATGTAATCCTTTCACATATGATTACATGCGGTGTGCAGGCGTTTACATGCAGCAGCTGTCACCCGATCATTAATTTTAATGGGTGACAGTTGCCGCTTGTAACATGTGCATACATTAACACTGGTACCGTATATAGTAGCGGCCCACACGGGACTAAAAAATGTGTCCAGTGGCCCCCGACTAAATTGAGTTTGAGACCCCTGGTCTACATTCACCAGTTACTTAAGGCTGTATTTACACACTGGAGCACTTTTTAATGTGAGAATAAAAAGATCAAATATTATTGCCTTTCACTATTATTTAAAGACACTGTTGTGCACAGTCATATTCCCATGAGTATCAAATCTGTCTCTTTCGCATACACAAAGTAATTCAATGATAAGCAAGCCTTCACGCTGCAAATGTTTTGACTTCTACAATTATACTTCTATTAACTTTGTCTTCACATACATGAGATAAGCAGCTAATTTACAGTTGCAGTGGCAAGGATATAAGCATTTTAATGTGGAAAATGCAGCCAATTTCTAAAAGCAGGGTGGTGATCTGCAGGTTACATTGTACAAGATCAGTGAAGGATCAGCTCCTGCCGCTTTCCTTTATCCCAGTTCCTGCACGGCTGATTTAGCACACACCTACCAGTATTATTACATTCAGGAGGCAGTCATTTAAAATGAAAAGAACAACTAGAGCTCAAGAAGGTGCTATACTAAAAGCAACAGATCAGCTGCAAAATTTGCGAAAACCATTATATTCACACCATTAAATATTTTCAAATTAGGTTAGCTGATCACAGGCAAAAAAAAAAATCAAGATCATTAAAAGGTAAAATGCATCACTCACCATCGATGCCATTTGGTTGCTTGTGCAAATCACAATACCACAAACGGTTAACCGGATCACAGCCCTCACTGATAGACAACAGTACGTATTGACCATCATCAGAGACCTAAAGGATTTCAAAGTTTTGAATGTCAAACTTACTTGTAAACAGAATAGTTATGTTATGCAAAAGATTCAATAAATAAGAGTCTCAAATACTTGTCATGTATATAGGTTTGTGGAGTGTTGGGG